TTGTGTTGGACTATCTTACTGAATTTGTTTTGAAATTGATTTTTCTATATTTTGTTAATTATCAAATTCAGGGGGAGTTCAAGCAATATCTCAGGGGGGGTTTTAGCTAAAATTTAGTTTTGATCAGAAAGTTAAAAAGGGGGAGTTTGAAACACGTTGGTCTTTATACAAAAGTGTTTTTAACTCTCTTACTTTCAAACTAAATTTTAGGTGTGACTTAGTGGGCTAAGTGTTATAACTTAGTGGGCTAAGTAGTGCTTAGTGGGTTTAATTGTGGATTTTATTCTAACTTCCTAACTAACTCACTAACCCATTTTTTTGAGTTCTCTTGAAGTTGGTTTTCTTGCAGATCATGGGCTGAGAAGTGGAAGCTTGGAAAGTCTATAAATACCAAACTTAAGACACAAGAAAAGTGCAGATTTCGAAGAAACAAAAACGAGTGCTGAAGTTTTATCCATGAGAGTTTTTAGTGTGTTTCTAGGATCTGTTGTACGTACTCTTTACGAGTACATTCTTTGAAATCTAGAATTTTTAATATTTCTCTTTTTGTATCTAGATTTGATTGTAAGAATGATCATGTGAATGATTCATTCATAAGGGAGAAGTTTTTGCACCTCTTCTGTTTGTTTTCTTGGAATACTATTTTTAATATATTTTTCGTCCTGTAAAGGACAAGTTCACAAGTCTTTACTTGTGAACATTTTTTTTATCTGAGTACTGTCTTTTTATCTTTATATTTCCGCTGCATGTTTACTCAAGTGTTATAACACTTCGGATAACATCTCTGTATTAAACGAATTCGGGACCATAAATTCTTTCACATAGGTAGAAGATGCTAATGAATATTTGTTTTGTATATAGGTTTTAGGTTTATACGAATTTGCATATATAACAACGAACTTCTAAAAATTGAGTATTTAAAAAAAAAAATTGATGGTGAACATCTGAAAATTGACAGTGAACTTCTGAAAATTGTTGAAATTGAAAGTGAATTTCTATAAATTGACCGACAATTGATAGTGAAGTTCTAAAAATTGGTGAAAATAACTATATAAATTGAATGAGATGAACTTCTGTAAATTGGTTGAGAATTGGCAACAAACTTTCTGAAGTAGGTGAAATTGGCGGCAACATTTAAAAATTGGCTCAGATTGCCAGTGAACTTAGACAGTAAATAAAGATTGAGGGAGCGCCACACTGTTCATAGGACGCGTCCCGCGAATGGTACATACTATATAAGGATTTTTTGCTAATATGTATATGGGAGTATTTTTGTAAGAAGAATAAATGAGGGAGTTGTAGCGAAGCCTAAATATCCCGTGTTCTCTTTTGCTAACCAAATTAGTTACGAAGCACGGGCACAAGAACACACATACAGCGAAACAGGAAAACAAACACGGGGAAACCTCGTAATCGAAAAAGTGAATACAAGAATACGAGGAAAATGTGTAAATATTAAAATATAGGCGTATATTCATAAATTCTAAAAAGTATCACACACATTAACATATGTATGTATGTATCTTGTCAATTATATTTGTGTATCCACAAATTATATATGGGATAAATATGTTTTAGTATGTGATTAATATTTATTAAAAAAATATCCGAACACCACTAAAAGTGAAAAGGAGACTTACGATTTTATTGGGTGGAAACTAAAAATATCGGGCATGAGTCATATGCGTAGTTTTGGTTTCCGAAACGTATCGAAAACACCTAACCTAAGCAACCCTAAATCAATATCTATCTCCACGTTAAAAGATTTAATAAACATGGATTCTATATGCAACCTTTAACACAATTAAATGACTCTCTTATTATCTCCATAGTTATTAAGAGATGAACCCAAATCTAAAAAACAAAGTAGTCCTTTTCATGTTAATTAAAAAAAAAAATTATTTACATACACATCTCTCTATATATATATAGATGCAAGACAACACCAAGAAAACACGATATAACATATTCCTTAACCATGGTTACAAAATCACCATCTCTAGTGCTACTATTAATACTCCTATTGCTGCTTCCTTATTGCCACCATTGCAAGGTTTTACAATCCACAGCTTTAACCTTAAACCATGTCCAAAACAACACACACACCATTGCGAAAGATCACTACACGTACCCTAATTACATAATCCGTCCGCACATCTCCCGTTACGGTTACAAGGTCCTAATCGACGCAAGCATCGGCACACCCCCGTCGAAAAAGACGTTCATCTTCGACACGGCAAGCCCCATCACGTGGACGCAATGCACCCCGTGCACCAAATGCTTCCCCCAAACGCTCCCTCTCTTTGACCCCAAGAAATCGACCACCTACAAAAAGATGACCAAGAATCACAACCTCTCCGATTTCTTCGACGACAGCATGGAATACGAGGCCCGGTACGTCTTCGGCCACTACTCCTCCGGCATCATGTCCCTCGACACCTTCACTTTCCCTTCCCACACCGGGTCCCCCGAGATCCTAAGAAACTTCGTATTCGGCTGCGCGAACAACAACGTCGGAGATTGGCCCGAGAACACTCCCATAACCGGAATCATGGGCATGAACCGGTCCCCTCTCTCCTTAATCGGTCAAATGGGGTCGAGAGCGATCCGACGTTTCTCTTACTGCTTGCCGAAGATCAATTCTCCGGTCAAGAGGACGGTTTTGAGATTCGGGCCGGACGTCAAGATACGAACGGGCCTACAGTGCACCAAGTTCTTGAAGATCAAGACGAATATGTACGACGTCGCTTTGGAGGGCGTGAGCGTGTTGGGGCGCCGACTGAAAGTGCCAAAGGGGACTTTCTCCGGAGGGTGCCAGCTGGACACGGGAGCCTCCGGTAGTAGGATCGACTCGCGGGCGTATAAGATGATCATCGACGTGCTATCGCAGTACTTCGACAAGTTTAAACTGAAGAGGCTGACGGACCCCATATACGAAGGGCAGCTGTGCTACAACAAGAAACCGGGGTTCAATAGTTATCCGAACATGACGTGGCACTTCAAAGCATCCGGTTTGTGCAGAGGAGCGAATGTTCAGATCGGTGGCGACAGCTTGTTCGGACACGAAGGTAATATATTTTGCATGACGATGTACGGGCTGCCCAATAGGTCGATTCTCGGGGCATTTCAGATGCAGAATTATAGGTTTGTGTATGATCTTGTTGGGGGACAGGTTTTATTTGGTTCTGAGGATTGCTCTAAGGACAAGCCTTGAGTAAATCTGATGATGATCTATTATTATACATTACAGTGTAATTAACTGTTTTTGTGCAATCTGTAAGTTTGAAATGAAATAAAATGCGCAGAAAACTAATAAATAACTATCAATTAAAAAGTGTACTTAATTATGTTAGATAAAAATATCAGAATAAGTGAAAATATAAATCTTCCGTTGCCGGGACTTGAACCCGGGTCTCTCGGGTGAGAGCCGAGTATCCTGACCAACTAGACTACAACGGATTAATGTTGACTCTTAATTATTTGTTATTATTCATTAATTAAGTATTATATTCATAAGGTTCTATTGTAGTACATTATTATATTAAGTATCAGCAAATATTAATTATAGATAAATTGAAAAATGCAAAATCTAATCAGAGATACAAATTGTTCTAATATAATGAATATTGAACTCCCATGAAATGCAGCTGGTTGACACAAAAACATTTGAGAGCTTCAGGTCTGGAAAAATTTGTAATAATTGAATTTGATATTACATATTTTTTTACTGAACTATGATAAAATTATATAATGAATTATTAGTATATATGTTAATATTGGTGTTAATATATAAATTTGCATGATTTTTTTTCTTTTTTTTTTCTTTTTTTTTTTTAATGATTTTCACAAGTTAAGTATATCATAGAAATTTATCCTATTCTCTATATATATTTTATTGTTAATATTGAGCTTTCATTGAACCATCTGGTAAGCCAACTCAATTCATTTATACTTAGGGGTGGAAATTGGAATGGAATTTTCGAATTTCCCCAATTGCGATCGGAAAATATCCAAATTTGGAACCGTATTTATCATTTCGATTTTCGAAGTTCCGATTTCCGATTTTTTCGAACATATTTGGAACGGAATCGGAATTGTATATAAAATTACTGGAAATCGATTTCCGATCTGATTTTAGTTCCGAATATTTCGATTGTTTTTACTTTTTTGAACTATATAATGTAATTTTATGATATATTTTGTAATTCCATAAGAGTGCGTTTCGATGTAGGGGTTTGGAGGGGGATTTGATTTAGGGAAGGGATTTGAAATGATACCAATTTTGGAGTCATTTGAAATCCACCCCAATTGCTCAAAAAACAACTAAAAAAGGATGGGTGTGAATTTGAAATTCATCTCCAAATCCCTCAATCCAAACAAATCTAGGGAATTTGTTATTATGGATTTTGAAACCCGTCCATCCAAATGCACCCTAATATAACTTATATTATATTTTATATGAAAAATATAAATAGCGAAGGGTTAACTATATTCAAACCTTAGAAAATATAGGTATGAGAAACTCTCTCTTATATTTTTTTCCTTTTCAGGATTTTTTTTTCAATTTGTTGTTCCTACATGTGGTTTTGTTTATCGCGTTATGTTCCTCTTTTGAATTTTCTTGCATTATTCTGCAAAATTTCGAAAAATGTAGAAGAATATTATGAAAATTCGCATTATATCCAAATTTGGAGCAACAGATTATAAACTAACGTAATTTCCAAATTTCCGCTGATTCCGATACGTTCCGAAATCGGAATGAATTTTTGCATTTCGATTTTTTGGAAAAGAAACTGGAACCCATTTTTTATTTTCGAAAAAAATAAAAAATTTCCGAAAAAATCATTTTCGATTTATTATGTCCGATTTTCACCGCTAATTTCAGATAAGATAGAAATAGAAAACTTGATATTTGCTGGAAAAAAAGTTGTGTAAATAAAGCTTATGAGTTTTTTTGTAGGATAATAGTATTTATCACTATAACTCCCTAAACTCCCCTATATATGTTGGAACATGTCTAAAAGATTACACCATTCACTTGTCATCTTTCTAGCATTACTCCAAAAATGTGTTTAAAAGAATGTATCTTCAACGTGACGTACGAGAGCGGCCAATCATCGTCCGGCATCAGATCGAGACTTTCACTTTTTCATCGAACAATCTTTTCTATCAATAATATATGTGAAAGGCAGTGCTGGATATTTGCCGTATTTTTGGCCACCGGTTTCCTCGACACACGAAGAGGGCCAGTCGCGTTGCATGAAGTGGGATATTGCCGGACGTTACTACACCTGTTGATGAGAGATATAGAATGCAATAATTGGACGAGATACAAATGTATGAGGTATGTGAATTTAATTCATTGTACATATATGTAATTTATAGCTGATGTATGTTGAGATTTGTATGTGAATTTAAATGTAACTAATGTTGTAGATAATCATTGTTGGCCATGTATTTTTGTTTTATGTTTAGCAAATATGAAAAAGAAAATTAAACAATTTTGATATTCGCTTCGGGCTTCAATACGGGCATTTTTCCGGTTTCCATTTTTGCAAATAAAAACTCTGTTTTTGTCGTTGTTATTGATAATCGTTGCTTCATTTACAACTTGACCTGAAAACATTTCCAAAGAGTTAGATTGAGATTTTTTATTTCTGATATGCCTAATTGGGCCAACCCAATGGGCCTACAAGTTATTTACCTACTGGGCCACGAGCCCAATATCGAAGACCAATATCACCGAGACCCAAACACCTTCAAGTAAGGCTTGGGCCCAACAAAGCAAACCCAACCCAATAAACGACATATAAATAGAGGTTTTACTCATTTTATTAAGGTACGTCCAATTAACTGAGCAATACATCAACTGTATTCTCTGGACTATTTCTATGATCAGCACGTCTGACTTAAGCGTCGGAGGGGTTTCCGCCGGATCAACCCCCGGCTTAGTTCATGTGTTCTATGATCGCAGGTACCTCAGGATCATCAAGTTGTCAAGCTATTGATCTGCTTTGCTCTCCCAGTTCCTTTTCTACACTACCCCAGGTGATCTACATTTTAGCATCATCATTTTGGCGCCGTCTGTGGGAACGATGCAAACCAGATCACGTAGCCAACAAGATCCTCCTGAGGCGTCTGCTCGGAGAGAAAAGGACACAGCTAACGACCTCCCACCTCGTGGAGGCTCGGGCTTGCCACCTCCTCCACATCCCATGGATCCGCCTCGCGAGGTTCAGGTGATCCCCCCTCGGGACCCACCACTCGCCGATCCACCACTCCCTGCTCCTCGAATGGTTCAAATAACCGAGGATGCGCTCCAACGCGTGATAGCAGAAGCTTCAACTCGCGCTGTCACAGAGGCCGTGACCCAATATATCGCCACGATGGGAGCAGATGCTCCCAACGTGATACCAGCACCTGCTCCACATGTGGAGCCACCTATGGCACCATCGCCATCGACTCCATGGGGGCTTACATCGCCCCCAAAATATTTCTTTCGCCAAGGGTTATCGACTCCCTGGGGGATTACATCTGCCCCCAAAATATTTCGCTCGCCAAGGGTTATCGACTCCCTAGGGCTTACATCTGCCCCCAAAATATTCCGCTCGCCAAAGGTTATCGACTCCCTGGGGCTTACATTGCCCCAAAAAAATTTCGTTCGCCAAGGGTTATCGACTCCCTGGGGGCTTACATCTGCCCCCAAAATATTTCGTTCGCCAAGGGTTATCGACTCCCTGGGGGTTCACATCGCCCCCAAAACATTTCATTCGTCATAGCAGGAGCCAACGCTCCTCCTCGTGAGGCCCCACTGGGTCCTCAACATGATCAATTTCTACTTACTTCTCGAACGGTTCAGATAACCGAAGAAGACCTTCAGCGTATGATCACGGAAGATTCAACTCGTGCTGTCACTGAATCAGTGGCACCATATATCGCCAAGGTGGGGCATCTCACCCCAGTGGTTCGTGATCGCCTCATCCTAAATGGGGGGCTATCCCATCCTAAAGTTGGGCATCACATCTCAAGGGTGGTACATCCACTTACCTTTCAACCCCAAGGGGTTTCACATCCCATCAAGTGTTTCACGTCCCTACTTCAAAAACAGAAAAAATGGTATGACGCGCACGCGCGAACCAATGGCACAACCATGCGCATCCACCTCAGACCATAGGTCTCGAATGCCTCATCCTACAGTGGACGGTTATCCCCATCCTAAGGTTGGGCATCACCCTTACCTTTCAACCCTAAGTGGGTTCACATCACATCTCAAGAGACGAGTATAAATCTCCATACTCAAAAAATAGAACATCCCCAAGGGGGTGCACATCCCATCTCAAGGAACGAGGATAATCTCCCTACTCAAAAAATAGAACATCCCCAAGGGGGTGCACATCCCATCTCAAGGAACGAGGATAATCTCCCTACTCAAAAAATAGAACATCCCCAAGGGGGTGCACATCCCATCTCAAGGAACGAGGATAATCTCCCCACTCAAAAAATAGAACATCCCCAAGGGGGTGCACATTCCATCTCAAGGAACAAGGGTAATATCCCTATTCAAAAAATAAAACATCCCCAAGGGGGTGAATATCAACCAAATAAAAACAAATAGAAGAAAAAAAAAAGAGAAGAAGAAAAAAGAAGACGAAGAAAAAAAAAAAGAAAAGAGAAGAAGAAAGAAGAAGAAAAAAGAAGACGAAGAAAAAAGAAAAGATAAAAGAAAGAAGATGAAGAACAAAAAAAAAAAAAAAAAAAAACAAAAGAAGCGCGCGCACATCAGCACCGCGCGGTCGGCCAGGGAGCTTCGGTCCGCGCGCGCGCGGAAGAAGAAAAAGAAAAAAAAAAAAAAAAAAAAAGCTGAAAAGTGACTGGGCAGTCTGCGCGTTCACGCAAGACGCGTGCGTGTGGGCCACGCGCCTGCAGCAGCTCTCTTCATGTCAAATCAATTCTACTTTCTCTCTCCAGGCATTTAATGAGCGCACGCCTCCCCATGCCAGCTCTTCACTCTCTCTACGTGAATTCAATGCCTGCACGCCATCCCATGTATTTATGGGCAGCTTTTCACTCTCTCTCTTAGTGCATTAAATGCGCACAAATTCAACTCACGTCACTAGGCTACCGCGCGGCCTACAAAGCGCGCACGTCCAGCACACCCAACCGCGCGCGCGCTATTTTCAGAACAGTCCAATCGCCGCGCGCTTCTATACACAT